GGGCGCCAGGATGCACATGTGCGAGATCGTTTTGGAGGCGGGTCGAAAAGTGCCCGCGCCTTCGCGACGGCCGACGCGCCCAGAGCTCATCGGACCAACGGCAGGGAGCCCAGCCACCAGATGCGCAGCAGTCTATCCTTGCTAGTCGTGGATAATGGGTGGATGCGATCAACAAAATCGCCCCCCCGGGCCCCCCAGAATGATTGAGCGGGGCTGACTAATAGAATTCAGCCGCCGGAAATTGTTTGTTTTTTATCTCGTCCGCCCCCCAGCGTTCGTTGTTGCCCCTCTGGGGGAATTGATTTTTTTCCGCCCTCTTTCGCTCGCTCGATCACCCGCGGCCGCGGGGGGGGGATTGCGGAGGGGGGCGGGGTGATCAGGGAGTAGTTGAGGGAAGGGGTTTTCGAAGAGGCGCATGATCACCCTCGCCCCTGCGGGCGGCCGCCGGTCGCCCTTGCGGGCGGCCGCGGCGACTCGGGAGGCGGGGGCAAGGGCAGAAGGAGGAGGGGGGGAGCGGGGGGGGGAGGAGGAGGAGGGGGAGGAGGAAGAGAAGAAGGAGGAGGATAAGGAGGAGGACGAGGAGGAGGGAGAGGAGGAGGAGGACGAGGAGGAGGAGGAAGAGGAAGAGGGGGGGGAGGAGGAGGAGGAGGAGGAGGAGGAGGGTGAGGAGGAGGCGGAGGAGGAGGAGGACGAGCTCGTCATGAAAAATCACCCCGCCCACCCCCCTGGCCCCCGCGCCCTGGGTCGCCGCCCCGTGCCCCCCCCCCCCCCCTCTCGGCCTCCGAGGCAACCCGGAATTGTCGGCCCCCCGTCGACCTGCCCTGCCCCCCCGCTATTGCGGGGGCGAGGAGGCCCGCGAAGCAATCGTTTAATCGTCCGCCCCACTAAGATATGATACATCTATATATATATATATATATATATATATATATGTATAGAAACGCTTCCCCCATAACAAGAGACTGAAGTGCGAGACTTTTCCGTCGCCGAGATCGCTGTTCTCGGCGCGCACTGAGGAGCTGGCCCGCGCGCCTCTGCGCGCGGGCGAACGCGGCGAAGGCATGGCAGCACGGACGACCAGACAAACTCGAGGGCCCGATCCGCAGAATCCCTCTCCCCCCCCCCCCATCGTCGCCCCTTGACCTCGCGTCGGATCTGATCGAAACTGTCGGGGGGGCTCGGGGCCGATCAGGGCGGCGCTGAAAACTTAGATCACAGGCGAGCCTCATCGGCGGCCCCTCAGCACGAGCGCCTACGACGCGAAGCTTAGCGAGCAGCGAGCAGTGCGACGAGCAGCACGCAGCAGCCAGCGCACGACGAAGCAGCACATCCTTTATCCAGAGCGAAGCCGAGCCCTTCCACACGGAGATTGAGCGAACGCGGGGCCGAAGCAGCAAACCAAGCCGGGGCCGATCGAAACGACTCATCCGTTAACACCTGGTTCGAGCGAGGAGCTACGGCGACATCTACTTACACATCTACCCGTGCATGGCACTGCTGAGGCGTGGACTGCGCAAGATCTCCGACCTGCACCCCTTCGCCCCCGACTCGCACGAGTTTCTGCGACTACTTTCGCCCCCGGGGCGCCCGGGCCCACAGCCGCCACCTTCCGCTCAGCGAACGTATCCGATGAGGGCGAGATGGCGCCCCCGGCAGGGATCCGCGCCAGCGCTGGAGCTTTTGGCCCAGGGCCCGCGGGAAGCGGGAAGCGCGGAGCGGGGGGTGCCCCAGCTGCGCGGGGGGCGAGGCGCGGAGGCAAAAGGCGCAGCACAGTGGAGCAGATGGAGAAGACTACGCATGTGAAGGATCAGGGGTCACGGCATCTGCTCATGTTGAGGTTCGAGATGCTACTCGACAGCGCCCAGGGGGTTAGGGCGGTGGAGGACGCGATGCTGGACTCAGTCATCATCCCCGAGGACCACGCCTTCACTGTCGCGACGCAGCGGGGGCAGGAGGCTTTTTCGAAGAGAGTCGACGAGCGCGGGCAGAAGAGGGAAACTCAGGGTGACCTCGCCCCGCTGGGGCCCTGCTGGGCGCGGTCGCGGAAACGCCCGCGGTGGGGGGTCTAAGCCAGGAGAACTTCGAGAAGCGCGAGGGCGACTTCAACGCGCGCGAGAAAACCGAGGACGCGAAGCAGCTGGCGCGAGCACGCAGGTTTACCAAGACCGCGACATGACAAATACGTCAAGCTGATCATGCACCTGACGAACCTCGGCGATCGCCGTCATTGCCTGCTGGGCGGATTGCGCCAAGTCGGGGCCAGGCACTCTCGCGGCTGCGCGCCGCCAGGCTACATGGAGGAGGATCTGCAGGAGTGGGCGGAGCATCCCGAGGCACAGCTGACGTGTCCAAAGGACGTGGCCGAGGTGCTGGGCTGTGAATGCGGCTGGGACCGCTGGAGGTCTGCTCCACAGTTTTCGGATGTGGTTGAGACGCCGGGAGGTCTGCTCTTTCTCGAATCTCCACTGTCTTGAATGTGGTTGAGGCCGCTGGAGGTCTGCTCCACCTACTCCGAATATGGCTGAGACCGCTGGAGGTCTGCTCGACCTATTCGTGCAATTGGTTGGGACCGCTGGAGGTCTGCTCCATTTGTTTTCCTGCATGTGGTTGGGACCGCTGGAGGTCTGTTCCACCTTTTTTCGGATGTGGTTGAGACCGCTGGAGGTCTGCTCCACTCACTCGTGAATTTGGTTGAGGCCGCCGGAGGTCTGCTCAATTTGTTTCGCATGTGATTGTGTCGCGAGGTTTGCAGTTCGGCGACGGCGCGTCCCGTCGAACGCGCGCAATGCGGTGCCCTGTCCCTTCTGGCACTTGCACGTGCGCGGCGCGCACAGCGGCACACCTCCGCCAGCGAGCGGGCAGAGGGCTCACGTATTGAAGCCCGATGATCCCCCTTCCTCCTGAGCCCCAGTTCTGCTGACACACATCATTGTCGTCATCATCGCCACTCACAGCACAAGCATCATCATCAACATTCGCATCGTCATCATCACTCACATCACCATCATCACCCACACGCGCACGCATTTATTTTGAGGACGTATCAGGCGGGAACCTCGTTTGTGAGTGCATTGCAAGGAGGTCTTAGGCGGGAGCCCTTCCCCTATGGGGCCCGCAGCTCATATGAGTAATCCGAGCGGGTAGCGGGTCGTCGTTCTCTTGCAAGTGTCGTCATGTTTGGGTTCCTGAGGCCCGAGCTTGGAGGAAACATCAGGAGGGAACCTCATGTGTGAGTGACTTGCACGGAAGTCTCAGGCGGGAGCCCCCCCCATATTGGGCCCGCGCTCATGTTTTTCATCCGAGGCGGGCCATCGGCTTCGTGTAACCGTCGTCACTTTTGGGCTCCTGAGGTATGAATCTGGAGGAGGTATCCGCCGGGAGCTTGGTCCGTGAGTGAATTACGAGGAAGTCTCAAGCGGGAGCCCCCTCCCTATGGGGCCCGCCGCTTATGTTTTTCATCCGAAGCAGGTCATCGGTCTTTTGTAACTGGCGTCACTTCTGAGTTCCTGAAGCCCGAATATGGACGAAGTATCAGGCGGGAGCCTCGTTTGTGAGCGAAGTGCGAGAAAGTCTCAGGCGGGATACCCCTCCATATGGGGCCCGCGCTTCACGTTCGAATCCGAGGCGGGCCACCGGCATTTTGTAAGCGTCGTCACTTTTGGGTTCTTGAGGCATGAATCTGAGGGAAGTATCCGGCGGGAACCTCGTCCGTGAATTAATTTCGAAGAAGTCTCAGGCGGGAGCCCCTCCCCATGGGGCCCGCCGCTCATTTTTTAATCCGAAGCGGGTCATCGGTCTCTTGTAACCGTCGTCACTTTTGGGCTCTAGAGGCATGAGTATGGAAGAAGTATCAAGCGGGAACCTCGTCTGTGAGCCATTTGCGAGGAGGTCTCAGGCGGGAATCCCCTCCCTATGAGGCCCGCGCTTCATGTTTTTCATCCGAGGCGGGCCATCGGCCTCGCGTAACCGTCGTCAGTTTTGGGCTCCTGAGGCTTGAATATGAAGGAAGTATCGGGCAGGAGCCTCGTCTATGAATGATTGTCGAGGAAGTCTCAGGCGGGAGCGCCCTCCCTATGGGGCCCGCACCTCACGTGTTTTCTCCCAGTCGTCCTCCTGCGCGCGTTTCCTTTGGGTCGTCCTCTGGCGCGTAGCCGCTGGGACGCACGTCGTGCGTTTCCTCTAGGTCGTGTTCCGCACAAGGAAGAGGAAGAGGAAGAGGAGGAGGAGGAGGAGGAGGAGGCAGGACGATAAAGAGAAGGATAATGATGATGATGATGATGATGAGGAGGAGGAGGAGGAGGAGGAGGAGGAGGAGGAGGAGGAGGAGGAAGAGGGCAAATGAAACGATGAGGAGGAGGAGGAGGAGGAGGAGGAGGAGGAGGAGGAATGCCCTAGGAGGCCCCAGGGGGTCCCTGGAGGCCAAGAAAGCTCCAGGAGGCCCCAAGAGGCCCCATGAGGCCCCAGGAGGAGGCAGGAGGCCAAAGGAGGAGGCAGGAGGAGGAAGAGGAGGGGGAGGAAGACGGAGACGAGGAGGAGGACGTGGAGGAGGGAGAGGGACAGGAGGAGGAGGGAGAGGGAAGGAGGAGGAGCAGCAGGAGGAGAAGGAGGAGTAGGAGGAGGGAGAGGGAGAGGGAAAAAGAGGAGGAGGGACATGAGGAGGAGGAGGAGGTGGTGGAGGCAAGAGGAGGAGCATGCAGGAGGAGAAGGAGGAGGCAGGAGTAGGTAGGAGAAGGGAGGGGGCAGGAGGAAATCCCCAGAACATCTAAACAGATTCTCATGTGGGGTCTTACCGTCGGAGTAATCATTATTCTAGTTATCACGCCAGTTCTAGCGCGGGTGCATCCCCATCGCAACAAGTGGGATGTCACGGTGCTCCCCAATTGTTTCGTGTGCGGCGTCGTTCGTAGTCTCTGCTCGCGTGGACCTCCTGTGCGAGTTGGAGGGAGGGGACACTCGGTGCTTTAGGGGTTCCAGTCGCTGGGTGCGAATCAAGGAGCCACATGCTTCATCTGCATGCCGATTTGCAGAATGCGTTCATAATTGTATGTCGGTATGTGGTGGTTGCCCTCGTGGCAGTTCCAGTGCCAGAGACTGCTGCTATTTCCAGCAGTGCTCTCAATGTACACTGTTTTTCGATTGTTACCAGGCGCTGTCGGGCTGCCACGGCTCAGAAGAAATACGATCTTCGCCTGTCGGGCCAGCCTCCTGCATGCTCGCTCGTCTCGGGGCGGCCTCCCATTCGGGCAGCCCGGAGTGGCCCGCCGGATCGAGGGAGGCCCCCCGTCGCTACAAAAAACAGCTTCGGAGGTGCCAAGACTCACCACACGACGGTTCCTGAGTTCCCCGAGAGGGCGCCCACGCTGCCAGCAGGGCCCACCCAGCCACGCCAGTGGGGACGGGGATCGGTGGAGCGATGCTCTCGGCTTGCCTCCTGCTCCTCCTCGAGCCGACGGTCGGGAAGCGCGCTGTCGGCGCGCGCCGCGGGCTCGGAGGAGCAATGCGTCGTGGCGTGCACGGGGGAAGTTCCGTTCCCGGCCGTTTTCTGCTGAACAGATCTGCATCGCTGCGCCTGCGCTTGAAGCTGTTCGACGCGATCGTTTCGCCCACGGCTGCTTACGGTCTTTCGACAACAGCCATGGCAGCACAGCAGCGGTCGCGAGCTGTATCGACGCGCTCAAGAACATGCTCCGCCAGATAGTTGGTTTCAGCAAGCTTCCCCAAGGAAGCTGGGAGGAGGCGGGGCGACGCACCAAGCAGAACGTGACCGCTGCTTTGAAGATGTTTCCTGTGTCGGACTGGCTCGTCGTGTTGGATCGTTCAATGTGGCACCTCGTGGCGCGATTCGCCGCCGGCGACTCGCAGGAATGGCCCTCTCAGGTTCTTCGATGGCGTCTGGCCAGCGTAAGGACGCCGTGGGCGGCCACGGCGAAGATGGACAGAGGCTGTCGGTTCACTTCTGCGACAAGGGCACGGCACGGACATAATGAATGTGTTGTGCAGCCAGGAGCCCTTTCCTTGGCAGCGGGAGGAACAGCACTTTGCAGTTTTCATGAGGAGCGACTGATGTATAGATTCTAGGTTTAATGCAACATTGCCCAGCCCATTCCTTTTCTCTTGCATGTGCGTTTTGTTGCCGCGGTGTCTCATGCCCTCCGGCTTCGCTTGCGGATCGAGGTGCTTCCATGGACCCCAAAAGCAGATTTGACTTGACTTGGCGATCCTAGCCGCAGAGGGTAAAAAAGAAGATGCGCACAGGAGACCCCCAAGAGGCCCCTCAAGGCTCCCTACCAGAGGCCCCCAAGGCCACCAGAGCCCCCCAAGGCGCCCTCAAGACGCTCGAGATTGCCGAACATGCTTGCAAGAGCGCCCGAGGCCCCCGAGGAGGCGCCAGAGGAGCTGAAATCCTTCAAATCCAGATGTAAACCAGTGCGTGATACAGTCCTCGCTTTTTCGCCTCATATGAGGTTCTGAGATGCTCATAACTACTGCTGGTAGTTGTGGGGAAGTTGTGGTAGATCATGTGAACTTGATCTTCCAGATATTCACTTGATCTTCCAGATCTTAACTTGATATGCCAGATCATAACTTGATATGCCAGATCTTAACTTGATCTCCCCTATCGTACATAACTTGAACGCTGCAAGTTGTGGAAGATACGGAAGTTAGTTGTTTTTGTTTTTTGAAGCGGTTTTACAGCGTGTAAGCCTGCGCCTCGCGCATGGCCTCGGCGTCGGAACTCGAGCCCTTGACCGCGGCTGCCAAGCCTTGCGCGGTGACGACCGGGGGCTGGAACTCGCGGGGGCCGAAGTGGATAGATTCAGAAACGCCTGCCCACGACGCCGCTTCCAGTCGCGGCCAACGCCTCTCTCAACGTCGCGCGGCCTCTTGCCAAAGCTGTAGCCTCAGAGCCGATGCCGCAGGGTCGCTGCTCGTGCCTCCTCGAGCGCGCCCGCAAGCTGGCCCTGGGGCAGCGCCCGATACTCGGCAGCGATCGCCCTGGTGTCAGCGCGGCTGGCGCCGCGGCGGGGCTTCATGCTGACGAAGAGCCCCCACAGACCGCCGCCTCCACGCCGAGGTCTGAACTTCGGCTCAGGCTTGCCGTCTCTCCTCGCAGCGTGAACTCTCTTGTTGAACTTCATGCTCCTTCGGCGCGTAGTGCGGGGCTTCCTCCACCCAGGCGGCCGATGCCACTGGCGAAGCTCCGAGCGAAGCTTGGAAATGAGCCTGTCCGATCTGTCCTTCGACAACGACGGCAGTACCACGTGAGTGCTCATGGCGTCGACCACGTGCTTGATGCTTGCATTGTCGTTCTCGAGTTGCACCGTTGCCAACTGAGACAGCGCTGCCACCATCGAGAGCTCGGCCAACGCGGGCTCGCTATCCACGGAGTCGATGCCGAAATGGTCCACGAAGGTTTGCGTGAATTTGTCCAGGCTGCTGACGCGCGACGTTTTCAACTTGCGCTTTGCATCGCCCGCATCAACCAGCCACATGAACAAGCTGAAAAGGTACGTCGAGTGCATCATCGCGAGCTCGGAGAACAGTGCGCCCTGTCTTGCAAGAATCTCGAAGATCTGATTCAAACGCGAGAGTGTCCTCTGCGACGGCTGTTGGCTGTCGAGTGTTGCCGCATCGTCGTGCTTGGCGCTGATCTCTTGAAACGCCTTGCTCTCCAGCGTGCCCAGCGCAGCTACCACCAATGGCCACTCGCGAACGCGAGCGACGCACGAATCATCCTTGGAGCTGGCGGCTTTTAGCGACATGATGGTCTTCCACTTGCCGTCGCACTGCTGCAGCCGCGCGTGCATGTAGTGCACCATGGGGTCAGCGGCGAACCTGATGCCCAGGAGCCTATCTGCTGGATCGGTCAACATCCATCTATGAGCCTTGTCCCTGTGGCCTAGGTTCGGCTTCTGCATGTTGATGGCCGCCTCCTGGGGCTGGCCCTTGGGCAGATGATCGCCTGCATGGCCCCCGTCAGGTGCTGCTTGGTCTTGGCCGCCTGGGTCGCCGTCGTCGCGGAGGTCCTCGAGAGCGCCAGCGCCGTCGGCGTCGCCCAGCGCGTCGAGCTGCAGCTTGTTCCTCGGTCTCGTCGCCACGCCGCAGCCAGTGGCGCTCGCTTCGAACTCGCCAGTCGCCGGGGTCCAGCTTCAAAAGGGATGCGCGCTTCCCGTTGATGCCAGGGCCGACGCCAATGAACGTGTCCAGCACGAACTTTCTGTGCTGCTGGGCGCCTACGTCCAAGTAGATGGCGTAGTGCATAACCAGCTTGTTTCTGATGCATGTCCTCGCCGACTCCCTGTAACGAACCATCATGCAGGACTGGCTCAACGCGAGGGTCGTGGTCACCATGCCGGTAATATCTGCTGAAATTCGCTCCATAGACAATGTGTTCCCGTGCGTGTTGGCAGCGAAGTGAACCTCGTAATGGAAGTGCAGATGCGACCAGCGTTCACGTCCAGGCATCAATACCCTCTCGATTCTGTCATTGTATGTGGAGCCATCGGTCTCAGCCAGTCGGATTTTCCTCGTGAACGACTCTCTGTTCTGCGATCCAGGGTCCAACTTCTTTGCGCACGCAAGCAGGGCTTCGGCCGTAGACCGATCCACTCCCAGGAGCACTGACGACATGTGACCGACCAAATAGTGCACAACGCCACTCATTTTGAAAACTATGCCCACCACATTTGTGGAATGCTGCGCCTTCGTATGCGATCTCCGGCCTCACGTGCGCATTAATTTCCGTATTCATTTGGCTCACGATGGTTTCTGCGTCGGGGTTGCTGGCGCTATCCGCTGCGGGGGTTGCATTCGCCACCTTACTCCAAAACCTCCGAGTGAGAAGCCGCAAGTCCACGCTGTCGTAAGTGCCGTAGTCCACATACGCGATGAGCTCGACTCCAGAGGACGACGCATCAACAATGGACGACTTAATCTTGCGCCAACACGCCCGCTCAATATGCCAACGATTGCCAGCCGTGGCCGAGATAATCTGCCTCAAGTGCTTGCGGTCGAGGCCCACCTCTGTAGCTTTTGCCGCCAGAGACGTGATGTGCTGTGCGTCGTCGCTCAACAGTGTTGTCGCGACGCCGTCTTCGTGCGGGCCAACTCTGGAGTCGGGCGTGCTAGCTAGCGCCGCAACCTACGCAACAATCTGATCAGACAACGTTCCAACGGGGAGCTCGGCGGCGGCTGCAGGCACAATTGGCCCGGCGGCAGACGCTGGTGGCCCGCCCTCGTCGATGCCGCCGTCCGAGCTCCCGTCGCCGACGTCCAGGCTTTGGGGAGACAATATGCCTCGTCAACGACGCTGGCAAGCGCAGCGCCCAGCTCATCGTCGTCGGCGTCGGCGTCGGCAGTCTCACCGATGCCGATCTGGTCTAGGATCTGGCCCAGCTCGTCGCTGCTGCTGCCGTCGTCGGCGCCAATCTGGTCCAACGCTCGGCCGATCTCGTCAGGCATGCATCATGCAGTCGGCAGGCAGCACGGGCTGGACCCTTGAAAGTTCGAGCCCAAATGGCCAAGGAACGGAGGAGGAGGAAGAGGAGGAGCGATCCCGTGTCCCGTGGTGGGGCCCAATGGGGAACTCGGGGGCCATTGCCCCCATGGAGGCCCACCCGCGATAGCCCCATCGGCCTCGCGGCGGTAAAAGAGGTGACCAATGACATGGCCAGGATGCATCACCGATGCTGCAACACACCATCCCGTCTCAGTCCCCCTCCTCGTAAGTCCCCAACCTTTCTGTCCACTGCGGGAAGCGCCTACCCCTGAAAGGCGAGATGGCTCCTATTGGGTCCCACTTTTTCTCCTCTATCCTCCACGGGGCAACTGGGCCACGGACCGCGGGCCACGACGCAACAGGAGCGCGCATTCGTGCAGTGGAAGCGACTGTTGCTTCAAAATTAAGATACGATCTGAAACAACGCGCGATACGAGAACGAAACGATTTTGGACATCGACGTTTGAGGCTGCAGAACGACGCGCGGGTAACAAACAATACGACTTGCAATACGATCTGGCGAACCCTGCGATACGACTTGCGTAATGCCGCGCGGGTAAACATCAGGACGTAGGCGCAGCCCCCCCCCCCTATGAAGCCCGACTCGGTGTTTGTCTGGCGCTCGTTTGGCGCTCCGGCCGGGTGCTTGTCCGCTTCGTGGCTCGGAGCTGACCTGCATTTGCATGGTGGAAACAACACGATCGGCGGCGAGCGAGGGGGGGGAAGTGAGAAGGAGCAGGCCTTCTCAGAAGGTGGCGGGCCTTCTCAGAAGCCCTCGCGCCTTCTGGGAAGTTCTCTTTGTCTTCGGGGGACGCTTGGAGAACCGCTCAGAAGGCTTGCGGACTTCCGAGCCTTCTGAGAAGGCCCGCCCCTTCTCACTTCCCCCCCTTCGCTCGCCGCTAACAAGAGGCCCCCGAGAGACTCCCGAGACAACCCAAGGACGCAGAGAGCCCCCAGAATTGCCCAGGACCATCCAGGAGGCCCACCTTCGAGACGGCCAACGAGTGCTCCAAGACCGCTCTGGATGCCATCAAGAAGGCCGAAGGCGTT